AAGATGCATCATGTAAAGGTACAATTCCCAATGAGAAATGTAATTGTGTTGTATACCTACAATGTACCAATAAAAGAATTTAATACAAATATATATATATGTGGCATTCAAATGTAAATATTGAAAACAATTTGTAACCCAAGATACCCATTTCTACAGTTCTTATCATCATTATGGCTTTTTTGCATCAATCATGTTAATTCCCATAATTACCTGCCGTTCATTGTATGTATGCAGTGTGAAGAGGGGCTTTTGAAGAATGAACTCTTCTTCCATATCAGTACCCATCTTAGCTTTTGATGCTATCGTATCTGACATCATTCTAACAGGATCAAATTGAGCAACAACAGCAACCTGAAAGAGAAAGCATGGCCACTTGGAACAAGGTACAAACGATTTCTGGGCAACATTACAAATATTCCATGCCCATGAAAATTAAGAAATTTTGTTAGAGATAAAACCTAAGAGGCAAAGACAGAAGAAATATTTATACCAGCTCAGTCATAGAGATTCACAAAGCAGTAAAAACATACATAAAACAAAATAGGAAAATGTAATACATGGTACATGATTATTTGCTAATGATTAAATAGTTACAATTATGATTAATTTCATATAAAATTTATCTTTCTGATAGAAGTTATAAGCAATTTACATATAAAACATACATATTCAGCCACCATGAAGGTAGCATAAAGTGGAAAAAACGTTCATTTTAAATTTCTTAGTTAGCAGGCTATGGTAACAACCCCAAGAAGCTTTCTAGAAAGCCTACTCTGAGTGAGCTGGATCTAGAGCATACTGCTCACGGTAAATCAAGCATGTTGCAGAATTGGGCCAAATGGATGAGTTTCCATTGTACCAAGCAATGAAGTTTCCAGAAATCATTATATGCCATTGTTCCCCTTCTACTGCAAACCCGCAGAATCATTCTAGCACCAATGCCCTTGTCCTGTGTAATCCAGGCCTATATCTTAATGAAAAGAAGCCACTAATTTTGTAAATTATATGCATCATTAGTAACACCTGCTGGTAAATTCAGAAAGTGAAGGCTTAGCATAAAGTAAATGGCATTTTTTTTGGAACCAGGGATCGAATTCAGGACGTTGTGCTTACGAGGCAGGTGGCAGAACCTCTGAGCTAAATCCCAGCCCCAGTAAATGGCATTTTTAATGCCATTTAGAAACTGTAATGAAATAACTGGGAGTTAAACATACTTTAATTATTATAGGTTTCCCAGCTAAAATATCTTATACTATAATTCCAAACACTGACATAATGGACATCAATATTTCTTCTTTCAAAGGGCTCACAGGTAGAAGGATGTCTAGTCATATGGTCTCTGTAGTTACCAAACTTATATGTCGAATAAGAATGTGTTTAGTAACAATGACATTAAGTCTTGTCCCCAGAAGCTATAGTGTATATTTTCTAATGATTGAATAATTTGAATTTTGTTGGAAATAGGATAACTAGGACTTATTTTTCCTATGCTTTGAACTTATCTCCATAATTAATTTTACAGAAGAAGGTGTAATGTAAAGTTGTATGCATTTATACTGCATTTATGGTATGCATCTCACTATCCCCTTGGTTTGAATCCCATTTGATATTTACTGACTATTGTGACTGCAAAAAGAACCTCAGCTCTGTGGTTCCTCAATTTCCTTTTCTATACAGTGGACTTTCTAAAAGTACCTACCTCATAGGGTTTCTGTAGAGATTAAACCAAGTGGCGTCTAAGAGTACTTCACAAAGGGTTTTACACTTAGTAATCCTTGCAAATGTGAGCCTGTAAGGGAGGCACTGTTACTATTCCCATTTTTAAAATGAGGAAATGGAGCTGAAGGGGGCTCATGACCCAGGTTGTCCCAGGTTTGAAGGACACCAGAGGCTGAGTTCTTAGCCATGATGCTATGTCACCTCACTGACACACAACAAGGGAAACCAGGTGTCATTTTGTACAAGCTGGGAAATGTTGTCAATGAAGATTTTAGAGCTTGTCAGTTGAACTGATCACTCTGAGTTCAAAGTTCTCCAAAATTACCAAGTAAAACTCTTTATCACATTTCCCAAGTTCTTAAATTCCTCCGCTTGCTATCTGCTGTTTACATTCACCTACTTTTGCTAGCTTTTTTAGGCAAGGTAAAGGGAGGCTTTTATTTCTGCCCCAAAAGGATACTTTTTTAAAAGTGGATTTAAATGTGTTTATTGACTGTGAAATATTTCCAAGCACATGTTCCTACCCCAAAGAGGATTATCTTGCTCTACCACATTTTTTAAAGACAGTAAAACCCTTTGACTAGATGTAGGGTTTCACTGTGGCAAATAGATAAGAGTCAGCTAATAAATGAAAGGTGATATGGATGCATTTAAATCTTGGGAAAGCTTTTAAAAGGTGCTGATAAAGTTCTTTTAATACACTGAGAAAGTAGAAATAGTTTGACATAAATCTAATTGCTCCCTAAAATAAAGATCAGTGTCCTAATTTGGAAGAGTAAAATTTTATATAGCAGATGTCATGAACCAAGCCCTGGTAATAATGTGATTAAGAGCACTTAGAAACCTTTCTTTAAAATCACCCATGAAAAGTTCCAAATAAAAAACACCTGTTTCCTAAGGGCTTCAAGTCGCCTCTCTCTCTCTTCTTCCTCATGTGCTTCTTGAAGGGCCACTTCTTTTTTCTCCATCAAACGCTTTTCCAATAATGCTTGTCTATATTGAACCCTTTAAAAATAACACAAAGGAAAGTTGGAGAGCATCATAACAACTTCAGAGAATAGGATAAGAGAGAACATAGTTGCAAAAAGTATCTCAGAAGTGATGTCATAGTTTGATTTTATTTGTGTCTGGTTGATTTCTCATATGCAAATAATGAAAGACAAGTGTAGACAATTCACAGTAACTCTAATAACCAGGGACGTGCAGGAAAGCATGGGGTTAAATTCAGTTCATCTCATTCCTCATTGAAACTATTTTATTAACTATTAAACTCTCCTGGCTGCTGCAGCTGCAGCTAATCTACCCTAAAACAAGACCGGCTCACTCCTGAGTTATAGCAATTTTCTGCTGAGAAGTTTTAATACAATTTGAGATAATTAAAAAGGCTATGTTGCTGGTGAAACATACGTATTTTAGGAAGAAAAGTGAAATGAACTACTATAATAATATGTCTAAATTATGTTGCCTACTGCAACTTAAACTTTTTATTTTTTGTCACTCATTTTGTCAATAATGCCCTTTTCTAAGTGTGTGCACTAAGAGATTTTAAAAATTGCACTTTGACATCTGTAGATGGCAGCAAAAACATGACTTTCCCTGAGCATTATATTTCCATCACCCTTAAAAACATCAGATATTAAAATACAGCAATTTAGTTACTGGTTTAATACCAGGAGCTCATTTGGCTATCTTTTTTGCCTGTTTTGGGGCAACCTTATTTATTGTCTTCTTCCTCAAGCTATTCTTCAATCACATTACAGAGATGGGATTCATCTTTTCAAAAAAGTAGGCTCCTGAGTTCTGGGGGTAGCATTAGGCCATGGCCTCTGTCTTCCATCATTGACAGTGAAGAGTTGACTCTTTGTGTGATATCGGTCACAAATGTCCTTTTCCCTTAGTGTGCACACCTGCATTTTCCAAGGAGGTAGCTTCACCAGCCCCTTTATATTTAAGCGTCAGATATTTACTGAGTGCTCACTAAGCAGCATCAGGTTTGTGCTAAGCACTTTATATGCTTTAGGTTATTGAAACTTCACAACCCTTATGTGTTGGAGTACCGTTTTTATTCCATTTTCCAAATAAAGAAATAGAGGTACAGACAGATAATGTAACTTGTCCAGAATCTCATGTCTAGTGAGTAGTGAATGGCAGAGCCAGAAATCAAACCTAAGACTGGTCTCAGAGCCCAAGCCCATACTTCTCACCCTCCTGCCTCCTGTCATGACTACTGTGTTTCCTTCTTCTCTGTATCCCTTATCTTTCCTCCCACCCCATAGACTTCTGAATGCCCACTTCGTGCCAAACCCTGTGCTAGAGTGTGGATGAATGAGAAAAAGACCCTGCCTGGGGACCAGGAGTTTAGCTCAGTGGTTCCACTGCCAGCCTTGCAAGTGCAAGGTCCTGAGTTCGATCCCCGGAACCAAGAAAAAGACCCTGCCTGTAAGAAGTTTATAGCATGGAGACAACAAGATGTACCTATGAAGACCAATGAATGAATGAATAAAGAACATGTGGGGGTTTTTTATATACAACTGAGTACTACTTTGCCATAAAGGAGGATGAGCTTGAGACATTTATAGCTAAATGGATGCACCTTGAGACTATACTTTTTTTTTTTTACTTAAATTCTTTTATTGGTACATTTTAGGTTTACAACACAATTACATTTCTCATTGGGAACTTGTACCTTTACATAATGCATCTT